GACAAGCGCCTCAAAGCAATTGAATTTATCAACACTAGAATCTGGGGGTCGATACCAGCCAGCAACGAGAAAAGGTTTGGAACGTGGCTTGCAAATTTCAATACATAGATTTTCTAAATCTTCAAAATTTAGATCATGACGGGGAGTACAGTTAATACTAGTTCGTACATAAAAACAAACTCCTCCGCCATGTCGACCATTAGTATTACGGTCTCGACGAAAAATTTCGTAACCTGGAATAAATACTTCACAATCAGTAATATAGAGGATCAAGCCTTGTCTCGTTAATAGCTAAGACATCGATAGGATTATCATTTAGCAAGATTTTAAGTTCGTCTAAATGTTTTAATAAACTAGTTCTATTTAAACTAGCCATTTTGAAACCACGAGTTGCTGGTAAAAGGGGCGTATAGAGATTACGAGAGACTTCGGCAGATACACAATGCACATCATGAGTTGCTAGTCAATAATTATTAATATGTTTAGAGCAATTAGAAGATAAATTATCAGTTCCTCTATGATTGAGATGTAGGCCACCAGCGTTTAAATGTGTGGTATAGTGATATTAGAGTGAGACAACATTGTCCAATCGTTCTGACTACTGCCTACAAGTAAAGACTTAAAAGTTATATTTAAGCCTGGTTTCCATACGGTCATAAACGTGTCGTAAATGTCGTAGAAATAGACTCTATCTCTACGACATCTACGACACTGTTACGACACGTTTACGTAAGTATACGGTACATTCTCCTGTCGGCCGCCAGTTGGTCCGTATGCTAGGATTAAAACTGCGCTTTAAAATCTTCAAAATAAAATATTTTGGGCTCAAAATACTATCAAAATAAAGAGAAAAGTGAGTCGAATCCACTGGGATACGGCCGAAAACGAGGAAACCAACGATACCAAAGTTATTAAGGATCAAACGTATACTGCATTTTTAATTAGTTTAATAATTTTGAGCGATCGGTCAACAATACAATTTCGCTTGACTTTCAAAGGCCATAAATCGCTAGAATAATGTTGTTTAGTAATACATTTGACATCCGTAAGTACAATTGTTTTAGCTGAATCGAGCAGCGGTATTTCTGTCATTAATGGGCGATAAAACCAGAGTAACGCGCAGCAAAAGTCAATCGTCACCGCAATATCAAATCCAGAATTAAATGAATTCATACAAAAGCACGATGTTTGCAAGCGTTGTGAAAACAACCAATCACGCAGGGGCGGCACTACTGGGGGGGGGGGTGGAACACCCCCCCACACACACACTCGTCGGCTAATCGGCAAATTGTTATCTCAGTCGGCAAAACTGGATTGGCTGAAGATAACCACTGAAGAAACCAAAATTGACCTCCTGAATAATTGAATTCAAACCGAATATCACGAATAGCATGCATCAAAGAAACCACACATGCAGCAATGCAAGTTTTTTCGAATACAGTATCTTCACTTCTGTTGTTGCTTATTATACTGTTCTATAAAAGAGGCAATAAAGTCGGTTTTCCACTAGCGAATTTTCTCGCACGAAGCGACCTTTTTCCTTTGTCGGTATCACTTATTACGTCAGCAAGACGTGGCAAAATCAGTCCTCGAAAACGAGGTCGGCATTCGGCAATGCCGGGTTAAATGCAAATTTTTGCCCACCTTAATTCAACCAAAGTAAGAATTTTTTATGCTGATAGCTTTTAAAATGTCAGCGATTATAGAATTCGATTCGTAGTTCGATTAACTGAACACAATACGGTGTAAGGTTTAAAAACTGACGGGTATTGTGTATATGCGTTAGATGTTTGAAGATCAAATTTCGCGCGTCTGGAGTTAAAATTTGGCTCCAACTTTCGAATTTTCCGGCTGGAGGTAACGTTCCAGTTATATTCCGATTTCAATGATTCGTAAATGCGTGATTAATAGTGCTCCATGACGTGGAACAGATTTTAAGAAATGCCGAGATGTGCCGACTTAGGTCAGACTTATGTGCCGACTTAGGCCCTCTTTTGCCGACCTCAATTTTGACGGTTTTGACTTTTCGAGGGCTGCAAAATGGATGCCGACAGGAATTTTGGGTTTTCTGATTATGCGTGTCTCAGAATGATGCAAATGCCATTTCCGGGATTCAAATGTCCGCTACTTGCACACACGGTGGCTTAAAAGGTCTTAAAACTGTTTATTCTACCGATAAATAAAGGTTTTTTTATTGACTGGGATTTCAATAACTCGGACTGGGATTTCTAATAAAAATCCAACTGGGACTGGGATTTTGCCAAAATTTCAGGTGGAAAATGGGATTGGGACCACCCCCCCCCCCTTCAAGACCCTCACCTAATGACTCGGCAAAATTACCAAACAACAGTCGGCAAAAGATCACTCACACCCCGCCCCCCCCCCACTCGAAGAGTGTTAGCGCCGCCCCTGCAATCACGAAGCATTCTAAACCGGTCTGACCGGTTCCAGGCGCGCAAAGCAGGCTGGAGGAACACAAAAGAAATAGTTGATTCTGTCGTTGATATAGCAAAGACTCACAAATGACTCCTATATATGGAGTATCAGTGAGTCAAAAACGACATTGCATACCCTATCTTTCGTTTCGCCATATCTCGCTGACTAATGTATAGATTATATAATACTTTTGCCGTCGCTCTTACGTTTGGCAGAACTCGAACGAAATGTGAATATTTCAAAGTTTTCAGGGAGATAAGGGACCGGTCATAAAGTAATTACTAGAGGGGGGTGGAGGATAAATGAAATTTCAAGTACATATTTCCATACCCTCCCAAAAACCTATGGAAAAATTTTCGTAACCCCCTTCAATGTGAGTGAAAATTTTCATAACCCCCCCCCCCTTTCTATCGATAATTCTGTTTTAACATTTGTCTTGCGTTTATCTATATTTCGAGCTTGCTAGCATTGACCGAATTCAGATGTAACAGATTTGTACTCCAAACATTCCACGGATACTGAATCCTACTTATCATCTGACATTAGTAAAACAATTCTTCCCCAACTTAAATTTGGGCACAAATACTTTCAATATTCAACAATAATTATAAAATGTAATTTTTTCCGTAACTATAGTACTAAGATTTTGGTACCCCCCCCCAGAGGTTCTGTTGTTTTTTTCGTAACCCCCCCCCCCTCACAGGTTCTGGGGTGTTTTCGTACCCCCCCCAAAAAAAATATCCTCCACACACCCTAGTAAATACTTTATGACCGGTCCCTGAATACAAATTATGCTGACAGGCGATTAGGCTGGCAGCCATGCAGAAGGCACCTTTCTGCTGCACGCGAAAACTTTTATTCCATTTACTTAGCGGCGTAGCCAGGGTCTAAACTTTGGAGGGGCCAAAATTTTTATGGTATTTCGAATGCGAGCGCCAAAGGCGCGAGGAATGTAGGAGCGTCCGGGGGCATGCTCCCCTGGGAAAATGTTGAATTTCTAGATTCATTAGAATGCTATTTCACGTATTTTAGGACGAGGTTTGAAGAAAAATGACAACCACAAAAAGCCTTTTTAAGTCGCCTAATGTTGTTAGATCAGTAATATTTGTGTAAAACGTACTATACACGCAAATACAACAGCAAAATAGCACGATGTCTTCGTTTTTGTAAAAAAAGAATGAAGCTCACTTGGCCGCCATATATTTGGACTTTGAAGTCGGTCATGACTGCTGTTCGCTCAGCGCGCAAATTCAAGTTCAAATGTGCTTTCAACAACCATAGGCATTTTTTGCTGGAGTTATAGGATTTTAGATAGGGAAGACTACAACGTTTATTGGTAAACAGAAGAGATGGGTCATTATTTGCACATCGTGCTCCCTGCCCTCGCCCCTACGGCCCTGTTTTAAATGCTTATAAATACTGTATCTACACTCGTTCAAAAGTATGTAATAATTTGAAATCGGAAATATTTAAAACGTAGTCATAGTTAGAAACAGATAATTATATTGCGTGCATGGCGCAAGCAAGAATTATTATATATAATAGAACATCCACTGTCACTTGCAAAGTACGAGATAAGCATGGAGTTATGAAAATGTCGTTCGTATTTACTAAAACTGGGTGAAAATCATTCCTATTATGGCAGGAACGCATGGCGCAAATGCTTGAACATGGGCGATCGACGATTCTCGGTTTCCACTTTGAAAATCACGGTTGCCCACACTATAGCCGCCATCGCCACGAATCGTCGAGATAGAACCCAACAATCGAGATAACGATCAACATTCCTGATCGTCCGATCGTCCATGCATGTTTCCATTTGATCGCCAAGCAAAAAACTGCTGTTTTTTCGACGATTGACAATTCGACGATTAAATGGAAACCGGGCTTTAGTTTGTGCAGTGTGCCCATGCAGGTAGAAGCGCTTCCGAAGAGTTGCAGATTTTGACGATATTAAGGCTCTTTCATTTGCATTCATCGCCTTAAATAAAATGGGTGCGGACCCAACACGATTTAAAGCATTTTTGTATCGCTTCTTGTTGACCAAGACTATTCAAAGGTTCTTGACACCGTCCCAAATGTACACAAGACGTTTGGGTCAGAAGGCTGTGCTTTTTAAAGTTAGCATGCAATGTGCAAGAAATACATTTTTCTCTTTGCGCTGATCCATTTACGCTATGATACCTGTCCTTCCTTTATTGTTTTACTAGTATATTCTTTTAGATGCCCGTTTTCGTTACATGTTTGGTAATGAGGCAATGCCGCAATAGGCATGAATACTGATGAGTGTTTTAAGAAATTTTAACATTATAATATGTAGTTTGTTTTATAAGTATATCGATACTTTTATGTACATATGTTTAACACACGGCTCTCTGGAAGAGCATTTATGTATTACAAATGAACAGACCCCGTGTTCAAATAAAGTTCACCATTGACTCAGTAGTTTCCTTAGCCAATGAACGGAGATCTTCCGAGAGGTGCAGCTTGTCCTAATTTCTCTCGTGTAAGTTACTTTGTACGCGTTTAAAAACCTTCCGCCAGCAAAAACAACATCCGAGATAGTGGCCCTGGTCCACGGATACGAATTTCGACGGACCTGACCAATCAGAATTCAGGATAGAACAACGCATGTGCTGTTTTTCTCATTTTCAGAAACAAAAGAACGTCGGCCGCTTAAAACCAATGTTACTGTTGAAAACATGGACAACTTGGAACGAATAGTTTGGGATGCTTTAAACTGTGATGATATTGAAAAATTAAGGGAAGTAATTGAAAAAGGTAGGTATTTCAAAACTGTGTAGTCTACAGGCTGAAAAGAATGCTACAGGAAACCCTTTTCCACCGGTAGAATATATTAGTGGTGCTGCGATATATTGCAACGCATGCAGCACCTTTGTATTGCCGCACGCATGAGGCATAAATATCTGCTTGCACGGTTTGGACTCATTTCATTCATTTGAGAACATTTCATAAACACACATTCTTTATTAAGAACAATTAAGTCCAAAAACAAACCAACTGAAACCCGAGTGAAATACAAACGCTACTTCCGAAATGACAGGCAGACTACTTCGACCATTTTTAAATGTTAAAACATTGATGTATTTGTAATTATTAAAAGTAATTATTTAATCCAGAATATATAGGGCCGCAGGTTAGATTCCTGCCAGACGGTCTGAAGTTGCATTTTTCGCAACTGCTGCTAAGTTTGCATGTTTTTCATGTTGGTTTGTGTGCAACGTCAATGTTAAATGGTCGGAGGAGTCTAGCGGCCATTTCCGACGTGCATGGTGTTTATGTAAGGAAGTGTAATCCTCGTTCTAGTTTGGTTATGTTGGTTTGTGTTAGTCTGTTTCTTGTATGATAGTATTTTGTTAACAGAGTTCAAGAGCCGTTATCAACCAAAGCCGAAGGCTGAGGTTGATAACGGCAAACTGAGGGCTTGATAATTCTTCATATTGTGCGAAAACCAAATTGGTCATTCGGCAGCCGTCGTCGTCGTCATATCAATAGGGAGCTTAAGCATGTAGGACGGCAACACGACGACGACGGCAACCAATACAATGAGTCAATGAAAAGAAATAAATAATTAAAGCCCCGGGGGAGTTTCAGACGTAGTTGTCGTTCTGTTTACAACGGCAAATCACAGATTTTCACGTCGTTTATACAACGCCTGCATTTGAAGCCGTAACAAGTGCAACTTAAAATTCGGTCAGTAGAACTCTTCCCAAACATAAAGCCAATGTTTTCAACTTCTTATACTGTATTAAATTCATACGAATTATAATATACGACAAGTTTTCTTTACTATCATTTATTTGAAGGAATTTGTTTTGGCCATCGTCGCCGCGTTGCCGTCCTGCATGCTTAAGCTCGCTAATGGCGTCAGCGAGTGGATATGATTCTCGGTCGTCATAGTAATATGGCGCAAACGCGTCCAGATGACTCTTTGACATCATTTTGCTAATATGAATGTGAAAAATCCATATTTGAAGTTCAGTAGCCATTGAGTTCATATGACAATTTCACAGTTGGCTGTTAGCCAATCAGAAACCAGGAATTTTTCACGTTTGTTTACGTTTCAAACGTAACGTTGCAGTCAGTCAAATATTTATTTAAGCACGGTAGCTTCATCAGGTTTACAAAAAATAGTTATCTACATTAATAAGTTTAAAATTTTTCAAGCCTATGTTACACTTAATAATTATTGAATGAGGTTGAGCACGATATGAAGAATTATCATGCCCGAAGTTTGCCGTTATCAACCAAAGCCGAAGGCTGAGGTTGATAACGGCAAACTGAGGGCTTGATAGTTCTTCATATTGTGCGAAAACCGAATTCAATAATTGTTTTATTATTTATTTAAAAAATTCAAAACAAACGAAAAGAAAAAAAGAAAAAAACAATTCCTTAGTCATTCGGCAGCCGTCGTCGTCGTCATATCAGGGAGCTTTAGATTTGACTACCGCTACGAGATTCGTCAATTGCGCGCTAATCGCGTCATTTTTTTGCTATCGTGAGTCCGGGTTGCGTCAAGAAGTCGTAGCCGCCGCCGCCGCCGCTTTGAGTACGAGATTTTCTGAAAATCCAGTAGTCCACACTACGAGTTGAAAAATCAGGAAGGTAAGACTTTTTATGTTTTCTTTTTAAGAAAATAGATAAAGGTGATTGCTAGATAGTATACTTCAAAATAAGGTTTCCGTTTTTATAACGTAGAAAAAACTATCCCAACGCAAAACTAAACCCTAACCCTAATACTAAACCTAACCCTAACCCCAACCTAACGGCTAACCCTAACCTAAACCTAAACCCTAACCTAACCCTAACTTAACTTATTTTAAAAATAGAATAAAAACGGAAATCTTATGTTGAAGTATACTATCTAGCAATTGCCAATAGATAAACTCTCGAAGCGGAAACGGAAGTGAATACAAATAATTAAAATTTTTGGTGTTTTTTAAGTCCCCTCCACTTTACGTGACACAACACTGAAATGTTTGTTGTCATTTTTGTTTTAAAACATGGCAGCTCTGCAGCTATGTCTTTCGTACAACAAATATTGTTTTTTTTGCAACCTCGTTCCCAGGGCTTTCCCCTTTTTGTCATTGGGAAGGCGGGAAAAGGCCCTGGCACCGGCCGGTCACATGACTTTCAACACCCAGATATAGTGGGTGTAATAAATTATTATTCTAATGATTAGAAAATCCAAGATGGCCACCAACCTAAGAGTGTCCACAAAATTTAAGTGCTTAGAGCGGCTTAAAAATGCGTTTAGTCTTTGAAATTTTCTTTCTTTTTGCTACCGACGTACTCGAAATCAAATTCTTCAGCTTTTATTACATGGGAACTATGTAGTTGCTCTTCTTCCAACTGGGTTTGGTAAATATCGTTCGTTCGCTATACAAAATTAACAGCCAAAATATAGTATTACGACAGTGGTTCTCCAGCTGGAGTCTGGACTAGTGCTGTGCGCCGGAGTTGCCGGAGCCGGAGTTCTGCCGGAGCTCCAGCGGTTTTTCCAACGCCGGAGCCGGAGCAGAATTTTGTATGCCGGAGCCCGGAGCCGGAGTTACCGTTTTCCCAGCTCCGGCAAAATGACAAGAAAACAATATGAAACGAGACAAATGTCAAACGATTGTTAGTTACTGCAAAGTGCCATTTGCTGTTAATGAATTCATCATAGACTCGAACTGCCACAGCCCACAGGAACAGCGTCGAAACGCTGTAATACGATCGCAACTTACAAACGTCATGCTTTCATGAAGCCATCTGACTTAGCGCTACATAGTCTGTGTATTCATGCCTTGTAGATAACGAAAAAGTACAAAACAAATAAATATCAACCTTTTGAAAATGATAGAGTACTTTGTTTGCGTGCGAACAATTGCGCTGTGGAGTCTGAGAGTGTTAGCGTCATGCCTCGCGTCATGCCTCGCGTCAAAGATTTTTCGAAGCTGGTTTCCATATAGATATTTTCTGCGTGGTTAAGTGTTTTCACTGTTTTTGTTTCCTGAGTTATGTTATCTGATAATTAGGAAGCGCGAAAAGGGTTATTCATAATAATATTAATAAATGTTCTCTGATCGTAAAACATTTATTTAATATTTTATGATGTGGCCGGAGCCGGAGCCGGAGCTCAGAGCTGTAATTCGGCCGGAGCCGGAGATGAAAAACCGGAGTTTGCACAGCACTAAGCTGGACAGGCTTGCCTAAGAGGATACGGAAAGTGTTTTGAACTGGGGATGTTAAACTTGGTTTTACCCTTCCAAAGACTCTGCTGTGCGACGATTGGAGCGAATTTATGTGGAATATATACAGTGATTCAAAGAAATGTTTTTGCATATACTGTATATGTTATTGATCTATTGTTGAATGTCACTTATATTATAAAGCGACCAAATGTTGTTGAAGCTGGCAAGCTGCAAAACTGACATATGAGTGATATGACCCAAATATTGGATATGCATCTTAGTTTGCTTCCAGTAAAATGTAAACAAGACCTTAAGAATTCTATATGAGATAAGAAAGTTTACGTTTAAAATCATAACTGGCAAATTAGTATGTGCGAATTGATGCTTCCTAATAATAGTATGTACTCCAGTAAAGCTTGCTTGCTTCAATTCTTGGTGTTACCATCTGTACATTATCAGGGTGGAGAGTTGATTTGAATTTTTTGTCCCAGGGGATATTAAAAGGTAGGGAATAGATTTTTCATAACAAAAGGGGCAAGGTGCCCAACCAGTTAGAAGATGGCATGTACTTTAAGTGACCATTCATTATGCCCTAGGGTGGGGTGGGAGATTCTTATGTCAAAATGTCATGGGACCCCTTTTTAAATTAATCTCTTAATTTAACAATGGAGACCCCTCCTAAATATTTAAGACTATATAACATGATGCAACTCTAATCTTCATTCATGTGAATGCCTGACTATGAAGAAAATATATTTTGCAACACAGGGATGGATCCAGCATGATCTGGTAGGGGGTGTGTGCTCTTCCAGCTCTGGTGCCGAGTTGTGTCGGTCATGTGTGCTGCCCGCCCATCAACTTGCTTCACTACTGCAAAGTCTTGCTTTACTACTGTATTTGAATTGTAATTGTTGTTCACAGCTTGCTTATCATCATGTTATTACTCAAATTACTGTATCTCATTTTGCCTGTAATAATTTTTTGCTTTATCATGAAAAATAGCACCCCCGTGCACCCCCTCTGGCCAGGGCTAGGGGAGTGCACAGCCCCCCTCCCCCAGTAAATCCATCCCTGTTGCAACATACACCACAAGAGCTAGAATGATTGCTTCCTTTGGATGATTTGTCTTAGAATTATATTACCTATATTACAACAATTCTTCCTATTCTGAAACCAGTTGCTATTCTGTTTTTTTACAACACTCACCCCCCCCCCCCAGAAAAAAAAACCTCAACAAATCAAGGACCCCTTCCAAGGCAATTTTGCCAGCAAAATAGATTTAATTTGATGGTAACTGTTCTGAAAATATATTAACTCATTGAGTGGCAGCATTCTGCCTAGACTTGCCACAAGTCGACCTCGAACGAAACGCAAGCAGCGAGTGTGAGCCGACGTTTCGTTCGAGGTCGACTTGTGGCAAGTCTACATTCTGCCCTTGAGTAAAATTGTCTGGCACCAGATGGAGTAATATACTAAAGTAGGGCACATTGCCACTATAAAGGGTTAAACAAATTTAAAAAAATTTTGCAATGGTCTATATTCAAAAAGCTCTATTTGTAAATTTTAATTGACTTTTATATACCTACTTATACTTACAGCTACCTTGCCCCAGTCACTTCAAGTGAATTCTATGGGAGGAGGGGGACATTGAAAATCCCTTGGTTTACTTGGTAAAAGCAAGAATTGAACCATGCCTTACATGTATATGGAAAGCAGTTTTAAATATATTATGCAAATACCTTGATAATTGTTCTTAAACGTCTTTGGCTTAGAATGGGTACACCCTCCAAAGGTGTTTATTTACAGGGTCCAAAGTGTAAATATATACTGTCCAAGGTGTTAATATAAACAACAAAAACAATGTATATAATTAAATTTTATTAAATAAAATGTGGAATATTTTACAAATTACATTACCATCCCAAAGTGTACATAATTTATCAATATAATTAGGACTTAGAAGCTGTTCACATGAGTTTGACTCTGACCCAGCACCTTTAGCTAGCTCCACTTGCCCGATCACAAGTAGAAAACCTCCAACCCCCTCTGACAAATCAGTTTTAAAGCCTGTTTCAACATCAGACATTGTGGCAATGGCAAGATGGTCCAGCCATACGAATACAATCTTAAAATATCATAAAAACAATGCAATTTAAGGCCAGACAGCCCAACTCCTGCGAACAGCCCTTTATTACACATTCGAAGCATCTCTTGAGGCATCAAAGTACATGCAGGCACATGGAATTACATACGAGTATGGATAGTATGTGACATATAAGCCCACCATAATTGCACAACTTTGTCTGCAACAATGCAAATACAATCAAGCTGGAAACGGATTTTATCAGTATTTTGATATACACATTATGGCTCATGTCTAAAGACACCTGCACTTTCATATTGAAATTGTGCTAATATCATCCAAACAAAACACATCAGCTGAAAACTGTAACATCAGCCAAATGAGCAAATCACTTTTTTAACACAATTTATGGTATTAAAAATGAAGCAACATGTAATAGTATCTGAAACAAAACCAAATCACATATTATTCAAAAGTTGTAAACACTTGCATATATATAACAAAATATCGTCGCATTTCTATAGTGGTAACTAGCTATAAATTAGACCAATTTAAACTCGACTATGAAGAATATCAAAAACTAAAGGTCATGTTTCAGTTTATAAACCGAGACTTTAGTTTTATAAATATAAACATTAACGCTATACGGAGCCAATGATTCAATGAAGGCACATTTTGCCCTAAATATTCGGTCAGAGCCTCAGAGGTGTGTTCTAGTACACAATTAATCTTCTCTCACAGTTTAAAACAAACAATAATACTAACCTTCGACAAATTGTGTATAAATCTTATCGAATTTAACCATTTTGCCACAGATTTTGCCAAAAATATTTCTTAGACACTCCTTGCGTGAAAATGTTAATTTATCCCAAAGTTTGAATAAATTAATCCTAGATTGCATTATTTGCATAATAATGTACTTGTCATTGACCAATCAGAATACATAGAAGACCGGCCGGTGCCAGGGCCTTTTCCCGCCTTCCCAATGACAAAAAGGGGAAAGCCCTGGGAACGAGGTTGGTTTTTTTGTAAAACTTTTAGTATTAATAGTTCTTTAAATTGTCTGTTACCGTGTTAAAGCAGCATAAATTTGTTGGAGGAGTAAAGCAACTTGATTCTTTACTGTATTATCACAGCGACACAACTTCTGCCTTGCCTTGCCTGGCCTCGAGATTTGACAAATGTGCATTTTATACTTTATATCTTTAAAATCTGCGATATTTTATTAATGGTATTCTTAAAACTATTTATTTTTGTAGATGGAAAACACAAATGTTTCCAGCAGCGATACGGGAAAAAGAGGTCTGTTTGTTTGGCGTGAACATCACGAAATGGGTTTACTACGGGAAGTGCTCACACATGAGCCTTATAGATTTCGTTTTGGCTCAGTATGGACAGGGGCAGTATGGACAGCCATAGCTTGTCAGCTGGAAGATATGGGGATGAAAGTAAACCAACGGTCAGTGCGAGAGAAATTCACCGGAATGATGACAAGTTTTAAGAAAAAGGAGGCACAAGAAAAGAGAGCTAGTGGTGTGGATGTCGACTTCACGGAGAAAGATCAGGTATTGTTGGATATCATGGAGAGAATGGAGGAATGTGAGGAAGAGAATGAGCAAGAAAGGCAGAAGGAAAATTATGACAAAGAAACTGGAGCGGAGACGAGGAAGCGAGCGGTCGAGAGGCTAGGAGAGACAAGGGGAAACGACCCAATGTGGAAGGAGAAGAAGGAGGAACACCGGAAGGGAAACGGAAAAGAAGTGGAGAGCTGGTGGAAGTACTAAAGGAATCTGTCAGGGCAACCAGAAATAGGGAAGAAGCTGAGAGGGAGTTTAAAGAACGAGAGATGCAGCTGAGAGAACGGCAAGCAGTCAACCAGCAGCATTTCCAGCAAAGCATTTTGGAACAGCAACAACAGTTCCAGGTACAGAAGCAAGCGATGACCATGGCCATTGTGAATGCAATGTCGGAACTGGTAAATAAACTGAAATAAACATTATGGGTAAATACCCTGAATTTTACAATATAATTAAATATGCTTCATTAATCATTACATAGTTGAGATATATGTATAATTAGATTTAAAATGTTATTACAAGAGTGTTGTTAATTAACTTGGTTTTTTCCAGGAATGGAATTTCTAATAAAACTAATTTATGATGATATCTATTTGCCAAAGTATATATATGCCGCTGTCAAAAATGGATATGTTGGGTTGACCTAATACATGTTGATTGCATATTGTTTGAATTTTTAAGGTATTAGAATTTTTTTGAGTCGATTGATTTTTTCACCAATAGAGTCAGTATAACAATATCGATATCATGCCACCTCATGCTTCATATTGGTGGGTTTAACCATGTGAGGGCAGCAGATGGTGGTCAACTACAGAAATGTTGATACTTATAATAGGAGTAGGAAAATTAAATTACATCTCCCCCAATTTTATTTATTTGCCTTTCAACACAAGACTTCTGTGTATAATAAAGAAAATTGTCATAATGTAGGTTGATCACAATTTGCTGCCATGATAATGGATAAAGTAGGGCACTATGAAAAACCAAAATTTGGGGGCTTAACCCAATGCAGTTTGCATTGTTATTTTAGACTGTCTAATGTGGCACTGATTAGAACAGTCTGTCATGCATGCATGTCTGTTTAGGTTCAATGCCATGTAAAATTATGAAAAGGTGTATGTCTGAAAATTTTTAACTTTATACATTATTTGCATTAAAATATTCTTGAATAGTAGGCGGAGTAAGTCCAAAATATGAACTTGTTGAGGTTCACCAGCTGCTGTATTGCAATGGGTTTCCAATGACTCCAGTAAACCTGACATTCTCAGCATGCCTGCATCATGTCTTTCCCCCTCTGTATTGACAGAACAATTAATTAAAACTATCATGAGGTTATAATACATAATAAAGATAAAAGATCATAATAACATAAGGTAATTTGATTGGCATGAGAAATTATGTTCAATGATATCATTTCAGGTTGATTTGACAACAATTTGGCAAAACATATATTCCAAAGTGGAAGTGTGCTGTTCCAGTGGAAAATAGTATCATAGATGTAACATTTCATAGATTTGTGAACAAACCATCTGTTTGGCTAGTGGATTGCAAGAATAATGTTTAGCCAATCAGAGGGTTTGTCCCCAAAACCTATTTTTGAATTCCAAAGATTTTTTCAAGTTTTAACTTTTATACTTGGCAGGTGACAATCGACATTTAATTTTGCAATTGAGAATGTTCGAGTTTTGCGAAAGCGACAAAGATAGTGATATTAAAAAGATAAACACGAATCTTACCTACTGGTCCGTAAAGATTTGCAATAAAAGCCCATTTGGTGCAACAACAGACTGAAATTTTATCGCATGAACCCGTTTATGTCCGTTGTAAAAAGTTCGCTGATGCTGATCTGGGCGAGCAATTCAGTGGTCTGACAGTTCCGTCAACAAAACCCCAGCAGTTTTTCAATGCTGCACCGCGATTGTGGATAGCATTTGTAAACTCTAGAAGGCGATCTGGTTCCAGCCATTGTTGATTAAATGTTCGCAAAAGATGACCGTGGTTTTCGTACATGAAATCAGTTACTTCTGAGGCTATTAAGCTTAGCTCAGGTACCGATCTTCCATTATTATTATTATTATTATTTAAAAATATTTTAAAACGGCAGCTCTTCAGGGCTCGTAGGCACCTGCTTTTCAAGAGGCCGTTTGTTACAAGTATTTACAAGCTATATAAATATAATAACACAAATATATACACAAAAACAGAGAAAACATAACGAACTTAATAATTGCATGCACTACATTTGTTTCTGAATATATCCTATTTCTATTTAAATATTTACAAAGTTACCAAATTGAATCAAGTGCCGTCAAGAATACGTTTAAACTTGTTAAGGCTAATGCCTTTTTCTTTTGCTGTAATTGATAAGTCATTCCAAAGGGAGGCAGCTGAATAACTAAAACTCTTTTTCATAGAATTTGCTTCAGGTTTTCCAAGATCATAGTTGTTATTGTTACTTCTTAGATCATATCTGTCATTTATTTTTATTTTGAACATGTTAGAAATTGATGATGGCATTTTTTCGTTTCGTATTCTGTGCATAAAAAATGATTTATTGGTTTTATAACGTTGGTTTAAAGGCTGCCAGTCTAATTCTTTTAAAACAGAACTAACTTCATAAGTTTTACCAGTGATGATTTGGGCCGCTCTGTTTTGTAATTTCTGAAGTCTGTTTTTTAGGTAATCACAACAGTTATCCCAAACCAAGCTACAATAATCAAAGTGTGATAACACGATGGCATTATATATTTTTACTAAGGTTGATTTGGGAACAAACTGTTTTATTCGTCGCATCATTCCTATTCCTTTTGAAGCTTTTGTGACAGTACTTTGGATTTGATGATTCCATAAAAGATGTTCATCAATAATTACGCCTAAAGTTTTTGATTTGTGAACCCGCTTAATGACTGATTCACCAAGTTCAATTATAGTGTCCATTACTAAGTTTGAAATTCGTTGTCTTGAGCCAATGATCATATATTCAGTTTTATCTTTGTTAAGTGTAAGTTTGTTTGCAAGTAACCATTGGGCATTGGTGTACATTTTCTAAGTCCACGTTAATGCGTTATTGTAGTGCATTGGTTGAAATATTTGTGTCATCGGCAAACATGCTTGCTGAAGATGAGGTCAGGCAATTTGGCAGGTCGTTTATATATAATAAGAACAGAAGTGGCCCAAGATTAGAACCTTGGGGTATTCCACATTTAACTGTTCTTGTTTTGGACATCGTTTGATCTATACCTTGCATATTTGAATCCTGCTAGAAAGATAGGACTGGAACCAAGCAAGCGCATGACCTCTTATTCCATAACAATGCATTTTTTTAACAGTATATTATGGTCAACACGGTCAAACGCTTTCTTGAGATCCAAAAAAATCACTCCATTTAACAAACCCTTATCCATATTCATTAGCCATTGGTTTGTGATGTTAAGTAGAGAAGTTTGTGTAGAGTGATTTTTCCTAAATCCTGCTTGCTGTTCTACAAGTATGTGATTAGTTTCAAGATAAATTTCTAGTTGCTCTGTAACTAATTTCTCATATATTTTAGCAACTGAGGATAGAACCGAGATTGGTCGATAATTATCGCCATTAGTTTTGCTTCCAGCCTTATGAATTGGAGAAATAATAGCAATCTTGAAGTCTTCAGGAAATATACCAGTGTTTATAGATGCGTTAAAGATTGCTGTTAGTGATGGTGCTATTACTTCAGCAGCGTCTCTTAGAAGTTTACCGGGTATTCTATCATGCCCTGCTGATTTGGATGTTTTGATTGTAGAGAGCAACCTTAGTTATATACCTTAGTTAATGAAACATTTTGTATCGTAAATTGTATATCGGGCCTAGTCACGTATGACTCAGGCGTCCTTGAGCTATGTGGCATGTTTTTGACCAAGCGGGATGCAACTTCGTTGAAATGTGAATTTAAAGCATCTGCAATTTCATGTTTTTTAGTCAAATTTTGATTATCGTTCCGGATTTCAGATATAAGAGTGGTTTTTGACTGTTTGTTTGTAAGTTTATTAATTGTTTTCCACATTTTCTTTGGGTTGTTATCACAGCCATTTAAAGTATTTGTAAAGTAAATTGCTTTTGTATTCTTATAATTAATCTATTCAAATCATTTCGTGTGCGTTTATAAGCATCATGGAATTGTTTTGATCCTATCTTAACTGCTTTTTTCTTTAAAAAGTCTCTTCGACGCATGGTTTGTTTAATATTTTCTGTAATCCATGGCGCGTACTCGCTTCTAACTTTTTTTGTTCTTTCTGGTGCATGAAAATCTGCAACCGACAAAAATATTGTTTTCCAATTTTCCCACATAATATTTGGATCAAGCATTGTATCACAGAATATTTGATCATATAAGTATGTGAAAAGGTCTGATTTAAAGTTGTTTGAGTTATAGTGTGTGAAATTTCTTGATTTAATCACTTTTGGCTCTTTACGGGGAACGGAAATTTTTCCGTCTGTATATAGATTAAGCTGTGATCACTTATCCCGAGATGAATGACACCCGAGCCATTTATCAATTCCGGTTTATTGGTGAATGCTAGATCTATTAAGGTTTTACTATTAGTTGTAATTCGCGTTGGACTATAATTAATTGTTGAAATTGAAATGTCTGTGCAATTCCAGCAAGCTTGTTTGTCTGGGCGTTAGCGCTGTTACTATCCAAGCGAGACCAATCGCAGTTGTAATCTCCAAGTAAAATGATTTCCTTGTTTTCAGAGTCCATTCGGGTAATTAAATACTCGAATGCATTGAATATTTCAAGTGTTGTATTGGCTGGTTTATACCAACTATTAATTAAGAATGGTTTGGCTTTTGGTTTTGAAATTTCAAGTGTGATTGTTTCGAGATTATCGTCAGTTAAATCGTCTCTTATTATGAAGTTGATCGAGGTTCTTATGTATATTGCGACTCCACCACCGTGCCTATTCCTGTCTTTTCTCACAATATCATAACCATTAATTTTGATCTCTTGATTTGAGACAGACAGGTCAAGCATGGTTTCGTTAATGCTAATTGTTGTTTATAAAGATCATACAGCCTTAGTTCATCGATATAGGCCTACTCTGGGACCTTAACTCGCCGCGAGATAAGGCGAGCCTATGCGAGTTAAGGCGAGATAGGGCGAGTTAAGGAAAAATCTGGCTACTGACCCTTGCGAGTTAAGGCGAGATAAGGCGAGTTAAGGAAAAATC